TGGGACACATGACGTCATTTTGAAGTGAAGATGCGTTGAAGCCATGTCAAATAAACTGGCAATGACTCCGAGACGATCATCTGTAGAAAAAACATTTACATGGGGACAGAGTGCAGTATACACAGTCATTCTCTGCTGAGTGATTCCCATAAACAGTGGAATCTAGTTTTACGTCTTGTCTGAGGGAAACTGTTTTAGACATAATACATGGTCACCTTCTCGTCTGGAGGAGCAGCGCAGACGTATGATACAGGATCTTGTCTGTAATCAGGCTCTGGGTCACCGACGCTCAAACACACACCACCACGAGGCGTCGCTCACTAGCGGATCTCAGACTTCTGGAGGGGATGTAAATTCGTAGTAGTGAGTGGAAGTAGGCGGGTGCTGAGCCTGTGGCTGTTCTATATGCAAGCATCAATGTCTTGAACTTGATTCGGGCCGCAACCGGTAGCCAGTGCAAGGAGATGAAGAGAGGTGTAACATGGGCTTTTTTGGGCTCGTTGAAGACCAGTCGTGCCGCTGCATTCTGAATCATTTGTAGAGGTTTGATTGTGCTTGATGGGAGAACAGGAAAAGTCCAATGTAAATGCATCTATTCATCATATTTGGTAATGTTTATTGCGTCAGGCGAAGGTAGTCATCACTACATCAGAGGCCAGACTCAACGGCGGAGATGGGATTGGACCTCAGAAAGTGATCGGTGAGTGTTATGTACACTCTTGAGCACACTGACCCTAACGTAAACCTCTCTCAAACAAAAGCATTTAATAAATCTTCCAATGGACATGCTGATGAGACTAGGAATGTACTAGAAACTTAAGAGGATGTAGGTTCGTGTGGCGTTTCCACAATTGTTGCAAGTTCAAATAGAGTGATCTATTTGCCAATATTTCACTAGTACACTAAGAAATACTTTGCAAGGATTTCTCTGTAGGTCTTTCTTTATTGACTTGTTTATTTTGAATGATTGGGGTTACGAAATCGGCCAATATAAAGTTTTGCAATCTAAAAAAATTGATAGATTTTGGGGCATTTTGGGTAAAGAGTGGCGTAAGGTAAATGAGCTCATGCTCCGTCATCTAAGCACAATAAAACAAATTTAGTATCCAAAAAGGTTGTTTCTGTTCAGTATTTCAAGCGCGGCTACTCCAACAGTGCACTTTTTCCCTGCCAACTTGTCAGTGGGACACATGACGTCATTTTGAAGTGAAGATGCGTTGAAGCCATGTCAAATAAACTGGCAATGACTCCGAGACGATCATCTGTAGAAAAAACATTTACATGGGGACAGAGTGCAGTATACACAGTCATTCTCTGCTGAGTGATTCCCATAAACAGTGGAATCTAGTTTTACGTCTTGTCTGAGGGAAACTGTTTTAGACATAATACATGGTCACCTTCTCGTCTGGAGGAGCAGCGCAGACGTATGATACAGGATCTTGTCTGTAATCAGGCTCTGGGTCACCGACGCTCAAACACACACCTACAGTACTGCATTACAGAACAGGAGTTTCCACTTAAACTCAACTGAAATTAAAGTTAATGTGGAAAAAAGATGGGCAAGTAATTAAGTTATTCATTTTTGTACCTTATATAACCAAATGTAACAGTGATGAACATGGACAAGCACATTTTTTTATCAAACAAATAAATTTAAAAGAGAAGCAAAAAAAAAACAGTTTGGAGATAAAAACGTCTTAAATATGGGTTTGTTTCTTACAAACATGTAGCTTTTCACAAGATGTTAACTGATGGACTGGAGTGGATTATTATTGTGATGTTTTTAATCAGCTGTTTGGACTCTCATTCTGACGAAACCCATTCACTGCAGAGGATTCATTGGCGAGCAAGTGATTTCTCCAAATCTGTTCTGATAAGGAAACAAACTCATCTACATCTTGAATGGCCAGATGTGAATAAAATTCAGGCAAATTTTCATTTTGGGGTGAACTATTCCTTCAACTTAATTAGCAAATGTGTGTAATAACTAGAGCCCGTCCGATATGGGGTTTTCGGGGCCGATACCGATATTAGGGAGTAAAAAAGGCCAATGTTCCATATATCGGCCGATATTCTTTTTGTATATTATAGTACAGTACCAGTCAAAAGTTTGGACACTTTCCCATTCGTGTGTCCAAACATTTGACTGGTACTATATATAGAATACAGTATATACAGAAACAGAATATATATACATAAACACATTTTTTGCAATGATCACTCAAATGTGGCGATCAAACACTTATAATGATGTGACAGAGATACGTAATGGAGGCAGGGCATTTAACAATTTAACAAACTTTATCCAAAATGAGTCTGACATCAGTGCACTGAACAGTAAAGTTGACGTTTATTCAACTTTAATTCAATTCCATTTAACTTTATTCCTTTGAAGTGTATTTCACTTCGGAACATTCATTCACGGATTTGCGCTAGGCCTACTGTCTTCACACACAGACGAAACTTACTAGAGAAATGTGAAGTGTGACATAATATACCTCTGTAAATAAATACTAAGTAAATTCACGTCTCATGACCTTTGATTGTAACGTGTATGTTTCCTTGGAACTGGAATCATGGAGGAATTTCATGTGAACTCCACTTAGCAGGGCACTTACGGTCGAATAAGACAACGCTTGAATGCTGCTGCCTGAACAAGAGACCTCCTTACTGAAGCGAAAGTGTTGACTGGGGTCTATCTCACGAACGCGCTGGCGGATCTCCACCAAATTCGGGGGATCCCTTCAGCTCGAGGAGCCCTCTCGAACGCCACCCTCCAAGCGTCAGTAGCCCCCCGGGATCGCTTGATTGTTCGGCGCCAGACCGCGAATTTAACCACCCGTAACTCCCGAACCCCGGGGGCTATCGACGCGGGGGTGGTCCCATTAGAAAGCTGGCCTCTAGACATACACTGGATTTGCGTTCAAGAGGGTTCCTCGAGCTGAAGGGATCCCCCAAATTTGGTGCGGATTCGCCGCGCCGTTACATAGATATGACCGTTGTTTTATGACCGACAGTTTTCCATTGACTTAAGCTTTAAAGCGTTTCATCCGGCGGCATAACAGGCTCATATCGGCCGATAATATCGGCAAAACGATATATCGGTCGGGCTCTAGTAATAATCGGACATTTGCAAAGCATGTAACTAAATAAAATTGACTTCATTATGAGAAACTGTTTATTGATGAACACTATGGAAAACACTTTGAAACTATATGAAGTTTGTTTTTATGCATTTAAAATATCAGGGTTTAAAAAAAAAGTGGTTTAAAATTCAAAGATTTTTTTCAGGTAATGGATGTCAAAAACTTGCTACATTAAATCAACAGCGTTTAAAGGTTAAACAACTCTGTAAACATCAGTCCAATCCATATGGGACTTAACACAATGTCCCATATGTCTCACACAATGGTGAATCACTGCAGTGAAAATGTTGTTTTCCATTTTTTCCCCCAACACTTTTCTGACATCAGCTGAAAGGAGCAACCTGATTATCCCAACATCATAAACCATTTATAAACGTACAACACCATTTCACTCAACTATACAGAGGAAGTCATTATATATATATTTTTTTGTTTTTTTTGTTAAAGCTACACTGTTTTTCCAAGATAGCCCATTAAGACAGGAGTTTCCTTCGTTTACAAGACAAAGAATGTTTACTGCCAAACCTTTATGGTTAACCTACACTCCTAAACTTTGGCTTTCAACAAACAAACTGAAATACTACATAACCCATTTATGCACAAAAGGGTTTTCCTGTGCTAAACGGATGACAACAGGACTCAATATGTGGCAGAGAGAGTTTCTCAGACATTTGGTAACAATTTGAGCTAGCAGAGGGAGGGGGTGTATGCCCTGCACAGCTCATTAACCTGATTGGCAACACATCAGCACCTAGGGACATTAGCTGATAAACAAGCATCAGGACACATTCTGAGGGAGAACCCTGCTATAAAATACAGTTAAATACTTTCCTCCCTTTAATCACCGCAAACTGCTTTTCTTTTCCCTACAGCCAAAGATGTTGTATGAGCACAAAACCGCTAACACCTGAAGTCTGGAAAACTTGTGTTATGAGCTCTTGGCTAAATTCACACGAACATTTAAAATAAACCTGGCAACGGAACTAACATTGTTGGAGTTTAACTCAAACTGACATTACTTTCTTAATTCACGTTTCTGGTCTTATTGTGAGTGATTCTTCTAATCAATGCATAAATATCTATCAATGGATGGAAAAATTTGTCTTAAATAAAAAAAAAAAATTGTCTTGCTTTTCACTCAATTTATTCAAGTTTGGGGTCAATAGGATTTTTGTTTGTTTTTGAAAAGTCTTATGTACAGTGCATTTATTTGATTAATAAAACGGCAATACTGATAAATATGATTACATTTTAAAACAACCATTTTCGATATTGCAAAATGTAATTTATTAAGCTGAATTTTGTCAGCATCATTACTCCAGTCTCCAGTGTCGCATGATCCTTCAGAAATCATTCTAATATGCTGATTAGATGCTCAAGAAACATTTCTGATCAATTTTGAAAACAGGAAACAGATCTGATTAATAGAAAGTTCAAAAGAAGAGAATTAAAAAAAATTGTCTGAAACCTTGTAAATAAATTTACTGCCACTTATGATAATTTAATGTAAAAATTTCAAAAAAAAAAAAAAACTGACCGACCCCAAACTTTTGAATAGTATGTCACATTACAGAAGCAGCAAAATAAATAAAATAAAAAAAGTTCAGCTTTTCAAGACATGTCAGAAAAGAGTGAGCGACCAAGGGTTTAATCTTTAGGATTTTATTAAAATACCTTGTGGAATTTACCATCAGAGGTTACCATCACAAACATGATTGTTTTCTAATAAAAAAGTAAACAAAAACAAAAGTAAAGCTTAAGAGCCTAGTTACAGGTTTTGTGTTTTTTGTGTTTTTTTTGTTGTGGTTTTTACTTTTTTTGCAGTCTGGTGATGGGGAGAAAGGGGGGAAAAAATCAATTCACAACAAAAAGAAGGTAAGAGAAAGGAATAAAAAGTTCACATGTTGTAAAAATACATTTCCCAACTTCAACGTTACACGCAGTTCTATTAAAACATTCATTCTTCTGTTGTTAGGTGTCAGTGCGACAAATACGCAAAAAGAAAGGAGAAGAGAGTGATAGAAAGGAAAACTATCACAGAGGGACACTCACTGTTGAAAGATGGACTGTGTAAGAGAGCTCCGGAGATCTACAACACGATCTTCATTGGGATGGAGTTAAGAGTGTAACTGGTGGCTGTGGGATGTGTGTTTGTGTGTTAGAACCCTGAGAGAGAAACCGACTGTCCATATCTGTCCTCTCCAGCCTCCCTTCACGGACTAGATTTAACCACATCGGCGGCTCCTGAAAGGGTCTTTCATAGTGCCTGAGCATTTCACACCTCAAAGTGAAAGCCATTTGTGTTCTCCAGATATATGAGCAACATATGGCTAAAGAAAACAGCCTCCACTCTCTTGCATGTGTGTCTGCTGGGGAAAGAGGAGAGGTCGGGGGTTTCATCGAGAAACAGATTCACCAAGCCCACCACGATCTACGACATTAAGGCCGCAAGGGGAGCACAGGACGAAGACGGGAAACGGGATGCTGAGGGTCATAGTATCCAACAACACTCGTCTTGAAATGTTTCAATACAACATGTTGAACACTGAATGACACAAACTAGATCAAAACTTCTAATTTCTTGGTTTTAACACACAGTGCACATCTCATATCAAAGCTGGATGATGCTGACGGGAAAGCAACACCACGATAATGCAAGAAGAAACTCGAAAAATTCAAAAATGCTGTAGTACAGAGAAACTTTACAGTCTTGACGAGAATAAAGGGCATCACTTCAGTCTAAGAAAAGCTGCATGTCACTCAAAATTCATCAACACGTAGCCAATGGGGAAGCGAGGGGGAGGGGCCTGATAGGTACGACCATCTCATTATCATGCATGAATCCAAGAGGATTGACAACTGAGGACGACCACCATTCGGGACACTTACGACAGCTATCAAAATCGGCCTGTTTGCAGGTAGCAAATCTACCCGAGTTTCAAAACCTCCTCCGTTTATTAGCATACATCTCGACGAAGACATGAAACTGTGCTCCTTTATACAGAAAATTACAGATCGAGAACTTCCTAAAGCTAAAGCCTGAGATTCAAACTACATCTAATGAAACAATAGACATCCTATGCTTGGAGGAAGAAAACAAAACAGCTTTGCGAATAACTGATGCAGTGGATAAGCAGTCACACACGGTCACATACATGCAGACGCATACACACCCCCTCAGAAATGGAACCTATTATCTAAAAAAAAAAAAAGAAAAGCTGTACAAAGCGAGAAAGATTTGAGCATACATTCAATATCTGTTACTGAGGTACTAGAAAGGCCTTTCTCTTCAGACAGAAGGCTACCCCGAGACACTCTCCTGCCTTCTTTGGAAAGCAACCAGCGTTCCAGTGACCTAGCTTTTACATTCTTTCCACCTTATCTCCTGTGCTCTAAATGGTGAAAACGCAGAGAAAGCGAAGGCTGATATCATAGAAGACAGCCATGATAATGTCAAGCTCTGGGTAAATGACCTGCTTTAATTTAGTGTGGCGCAGAGCCGGCACATCACCCATCCTGAGTATCTGGAAGAGTGTCGACGTTGAGCGACATATGGTGCGGCCCACAACAGGTCTGACTGAATCTCTCCTAAACCTTCAAGAGGCTCTCTGTGCAAGAAACGAATGAATTAATCAGCCGTGAACCTGAGGGGGAAAGCGAGTCGTCGCCACCTGCTGGCCTTCAATGGTACTGTAGCCTCCAGAGCACAGCTCGCCTAAACCAGGTCTGTATGAAAATGTGTTTGAGTGTGTTAAGAGTTTAAGTGCCTTGTGGGGAGGAGGAAGGGCAGGGCGGGCGGATGCGCTACACAGTTGGAGGACGAGTGGGTGAAGGGTGGACAAGTGTGCCTCGCCGCGTCACAAAGAGAAGGCCTAATCGGAAAAAGGAGGCACGAGGAGGAAGTACAGCAAGAGATAATCCAGGACAGAGAGAAGATATGGAAAACAAGGCAAATCTTTTCAAATGGCTACGAATAAAAAAAGGTGCCAATGTTATCAGCTTAGCTATGGTGGATCTCAGTATGAGTCGAGCGGAGGTCAATGTTGTACGCACACATTGTAAAATGAGCCTCTTTTGTCTTTTTGAAGGTAGGCTTAAGGTGTCACAAATCTTGCAGTTGTGTCTTGTTAAATCAGCAATGTTATACACTGCATGAATATGGCTTTGTTTGAAACTTTCATTTATGAAGCTGGCTGCCTATGAGCGATCTCCCATCATCATTATCAAGCTGTTCACAAAGCAGCACACAAAATAAAATGAATTCGGCCATCACAGGACGATGGAATCTCACGTATGTGATTTCAGTGACACTTATGCAGATCTCAGGCATTACGGACGCTGTAAATCTTGTGACTTAAGTGGAGCACATGATCAAACCCCCAACAGCTCTGGGGGCGAAGCTCTCTTGGTTTCCGCAAAAAGAGAGAGAGAAACTGGACAATTCTAGAAGATGCCTTCCACGTGAAGAGAGAGTGAGAGGAACGCGAAACATCTGAGCTCTTCCCTTGGACTGTTACTCTTAGCCACGGGCCATAACCATTAGCCTTGATCTCTGTTATTGAACACCAGCTGTGAAATAATTGCTGATGGCTGCTGAATCTAATCAAAGACGTTAGCCAGCTGTTACTGTGTTTTGATGATCAAACGTTTGCTAAGATGGGACAGGTTGAGAAGGTTTTACAAATGTATGCTAGGAGGAGGATGGGCAGGGGACAAAGGAAAGAAAACAAGGTCCATGCGTTTATTTCCACGCCTGTTAAAACAGATAAGAAAAGAACAGAAATGTAAGAAACACTACTCGGAAACAAACTCCAACTAGTCCAGAGTAGATACAAAGCAAAAAAAACTGGGATTTCGTAGCTTAGAAATAGTGTGCATCAACCCAATTATTGAATCCTTGAGAGAAGTTATTGCTTTCTGCCAAAGTATACAACAGAGGATAGAGCGGGTGGAAATGAGGGGTACGTTCAGGGTAGAGGGTTTCACTCCTGGGTTTGTACACATGTTCTGTTGGACTGGGGTGACCCAAAATCACATCGAAAGCAGGGGCGTCAGTCCCCCCGGGTGAGGTGAAAGGGCATCGATCAGGGCAAAGATGGAATGTGCTGGGATGCTATTGGTCGGAAGGGATGTCTCTGTCTGCCTCGGCCTTGGAGGGTTGCCCGGGCGATGGGGTGTGAGGCGGGTGTGAGACCGGGGCGATGCCGTGGGCCAGAGGCAGAGATCCAGTCACAATGCCCTCCACTCCTACCCCAGCTCCAGGCAGCCCGCCTGCTGCTACGCCAATCAGCCCTGCAGGGAACCTGCAAGAGACACAATCATGTTTTCACTTTCTCAGATACGATCAGATACTGTAAAAGCACTAATGGCAGTCAGGATGGAGGTGTAGTTACCTATACGCTGCAGCTCCGTTGAGTTCAGAGTGCACGGTGGTGGCCTCCATAGATGGCCACTGAGAGGTTGCCATCAAATACTCCTTATTCACGCAGTTCTTCAGACTGTCTGGGATACGACCTGCACGGACAAAAGACACAGTGTCACAGATGAAAACTGCCACCTTGGCAAAAAAAAACTTGCTGCAGCTCAATTAGAGCTGCACATGAATACTTAAATGCTTTCTAGTACTCTGGCATGCTTTGCAACACTTATTACAGAATGAACAATATGCAAAGAAAATAAATGAATACTCATGCAAAACTAGGGTTTTCTGACCTGTGATGGCTCTGCGCACCTCCCGCGCCGCCTCCTCTCTGGCCTCAATTGAGGCCTGTTCACTGTACCAGGATGTGTGTGGGGTACAGATAAGATTTGGGGCATCCTTTAGTGGGCCCTGAGAGAAACTGGAGAAGAAAATGGAATTAAGTGTCATGATAGAAAGATTTTTTTTTTTTACTTCAGCGTGTGGGCTTTGACAGGCCAATTGTAGCAATAGTAGTTTAGTGAAACTGAAGTGAGAAAATTACAGTAGCAGTAACAAGTCAGAAAAATAATGAAAGCAAACAGCAAACTTGAGTCCCTCACCTGAAGGGCTCTGTCTCATGGACGTCCAGGGCTGCTCCCCGAATTCTGCCCTCTTTCAGAGCCTGGGCCAGAGCTTTCTCATCCACCAGACCACCACGCGCCGTGTTCACGAGGAAAGCACCCTGACGCATCTACAAATAAAATCATTGATAGATATTAAAAGCAAGCCAAATTCAACCTGCTTATAAGAGTTTTCACACTTAGTTAATTTCCACATCAGTCTCCTGAAACCACGGGTCTCTTTTTACAGCAAGCTGTTTTGCACTCAAATGAAGAGCATTTTCTATCTAGCAACAACTGCAGTTAAGTAACGACACTGTTTGCATCACTTTTTCACTATTTTTGCTCTCTTTAGAGTCCATATCTGTGGCAGAGAGAATGTTGTTCTCTCCGTGTTGTATTGAAATGAAGAAAAAAACTTTTCCCATTTATCTTAAAAATAATTGTGTAACACACATGGCATCGCCGGTTTACTTTTGAATATCAGGCCAGATTGTCGTCAGACCAACTGCGAGCCGCACTGGAGTCCACATGAACCATAATCCAGTCCTACATTTTACGCAATGGGTGTGGTCCCGTTGTGTAAACCCAAGTTCAGAAAACAGCTTTCACATGAAGCAAATTAATCAAACTCTGATGTTAAAAAGAGACCCAGTTTCATGCCAAAAGCAGTCAGGGAACTAATGGGCTTCAACAGTGCTGTTCAATGAGAAGAGTGTTGCTGGAGAACTGTGTTCGTACCTGTTTGATGGTGAAGTCATTGATGAGGTGGTGGTTGTGCTCATTTAGGCTGCAGTGTAGCGACACACAGTCTGAGTGGATGAGCAGGTCCTGTAGTGTCGCCATGCGCTGGAGGCCTAGTGATCGCTCCACCCCATCTGGCAGGTATGGGTCATAGAAAATCACTCCAAACCCAAAGGCCTTTGCCCTCAGAGCAACTGCTTGGCCAACACGTCCTGAAAACAGCCATCATAAGAAATCGTTTTAGTCTCAGTTTGGACCACATTACTAACCTCAAATCAGTTAAAATCTGAGATTAGATTGAGGTTCTCACTGATGATTCATTTTAAAACAAGACACCATGTAAATTGGGTTTAAAAAAAAAATACAAAAAATAAATGGATAACACCATGAACCCTCATTTGATTGATTACATTAAGAATTGCAAACATTTTTTGTATTACAGGTTTTCTAAAATGTTATGTTTAAATATGAAAATGACATTATGAAAATGAAGATGCACTAATTTGCATACATTTGCAGAAATATGAACATTGGATGAAGCCAGGTTCTAAATTCATGTTTTATTTTATTTACATACTACAGTAATTAGAAAATACTGCCAAATAATACGGTGAATAAAAAATTGCAATGATTTTAGGAATATAATATTTAAAATCTGGCAAATTATATGACCAAAGTGTGCGGTCAAATCGATTAAATCACATCCAAAATAAAAGTTTGTTTACATAATATATGCATGTGTACTGCGTATATTTATCTGTATATATAAACACACACATGAATATTTATAAGAAATGTAATAAATATTTATATGTATACTATAAATAATTAACATGAAATAAAAAAATGTGTGTGTGTGTATATATATATATATATATATATATATATATAAATAAATAAGGGCTGTGCGATATTGAAGAAAAATGTGATACCTTGTTAAAAAATGTGATATTCGATATGCGATACGATATTGCTTAAAGTGTGTAAAATCAATTTCAATTATATTTAAAAATATTTAAAAATGAAAATTATATACCCAATTTGTTTCACATTCTTTCTTGGAAAACAAAGAATCACTACAACTTCTGAAAGTGACCAGCAGTGTTTTAGCATTACATAAAAAGTAATGTCACAAATCAGAAAATGTCATTTTAACATCAGTGTGAACATACAAACAAAAACAATTAATGACACTAATTTTATATAATTGTAACTTTGCTTTCACACACTTTAAGTACTTCATATACCACAGCAAAAACTATAGTCTGAGAAAGTTCAAACATGATTAAAGGCAAGTGAACAGTGCTTGGAAAAAAAGTATAAACAATAGTATTATATATAGATAATATAAACAATAGTATTCAGGTACAGAAATGTAATAATTAAGTGTAAAATAACACTGCATAGTGTTCACTGTATGAATTAAATTTAGATTATCTTTGTTATAGCTGTTTTGTTGTCAGCACGTATTTATAGAATGCTGTCCCTTTAAAACCGACTGCACGGATCCAGTATAATGATACACATCCGATTTCTTTCTCAGCTGTTTACATTCATTTAAAACATAACCGACAGCGTTAACGAGAATGATCGTCGAGACGGGTACTATTGACAATTCTGTGTGTGTGTCTGTTCAAACATAAGGAGATGTGAAAGACGAATCAACTCGGTGTTGGCGGGCCGTCTGAATCGCGTCTCTCTGCCGTGTGCGGCAGAACTGAAGAGATGCTGATCGAGATGCGGCTTGTGCGCGCGTGCTACTAAAATTTTGTCCTTTTGCAATATTTTGATTTAAGTAGCCTATTATTAAAATTATTCAGATATCGCACACCCTAGCAATATGCATTTTGCGATATTTACATTTGCGATATACGGGTACTATTGACAATTCTGTGTGTGTGTCTGTTCAAACATGAGGAGATGTGAAAGACGAATCAACTCGGTGTTGGCGGGCCGTCTGAATCGCGTCTCTCTGCCGTGTGCGGCAGAACTGAAGAGATGCTGATCGAGATGCGGCTTGTGCGCGCGTGCTACTAAAATTTTGTCCTTTTGCAATATTTTGATTTAAGTAGCCTATTATTAAAATTATTCAGATATCGCACACCCTAGCAATATGCATTTTGCGATATTTACATTTGCGATATTTCGATAGATCGTGCAGCCCTAATATATATATATATATATATATACACACACACACATGTATGTTTGTGTATTTATATATACATATAAATATACACAGTACACACATTATGTGCAAACAAACTTTTATTTTGGATGTGATTAATCGATTTGACAGCACTAGAACAAACCCTTTAAAAAAATTTAAAATATATAAACAGTAATATAAAACTATAAAGTTTGGTGTAAGTGCTATTAAAGTGGAGATTTACAGGGGGAAAAGGGCCTTTAAAGATATGTACTGTAATTGAAATCAACAGATGCAAATAGACAGTGCATTGAAATTAAAATTTAAATGTGAATTTTGGATGTTTTATTTCAACTAGTCTGAAACTACACATTATGAAGAGCCAAAAAGCCCACAACCTCAAAATTGACCTGTGCATGGAACGGGGAAAAAAAAAAGAAAGAAAAAAAAAGATTTTGCCTGTAGTGTCATGCTTTTTTAAAATAAATATTTAATTAAAACCTGCAGTTTGTCACGTTTCATATTTAGTAATACAACTTATATTCTAGTTATTTTATATGTATAGAAGTTTTCGCTCTCGCCTTAATTGAGCTGATTCTTTGAGCCCTGAGTAAAATACGTCAGGACTCACCCAGTCCAATGATGCCCAACGTTTCCCCTCGAATACGTGCTGCGCCTCCTGCCACCTCCCGGATCTGCTCCACGCTGGAGGCACGGGTGCCCTCGCGCAGAGCCTGATGCATCCAGGTGACGCGGCGGTACAGATTCAGAATTAGACACATTGCGGTGTCTGCCGTCTCCTCCACAGACGCGGCTGGCACATTACACACTGCTATACCTGTTTAAGACAAAGAACCAATACAAACAAGTCAGTTTGACTTGAACTCACAATCATTTCACAACACAGGAACAAAACTCACCCAGCTCTGCTGCAGCTTTTATATCAACATTGTCAAACCCACTGCCAATCCTCACAATGACCCGAAGACCTTTAAACTTGTCCAGGTCGTCTCGCGAGAGCGTGATGGTGTGGTAGAGCAAAGCAGCAACAGCCTCGTTTAAGACCTGCAGAGTAAAAAACCTATGAAACACACTGTATAAAGGCTGGGATATGGGCACAACCTGTGACATTACCTTCTCGTGGATCTCCTGGGTAGACTGGGCATCACAAAAGGCCACGGTGGCCACGTCTTTCAGGATGGGCATCTCCACCGTACAGTCCCGCCCATCCAGCAGTGCCACCAGAGGACGAGGGTGCATGGGGCCATTGAGGATGGGTGGTCGAATGCCTGCAGGACACCAAGAATGACCTTACTCAATCATTTATTACATGTAATGGGAACTTAATTTGTTCAAATGCCCACAACAAAACTTCATATTTGTGTTCTTTACATGTGTCTATAAGCAGACATTTTAAAACCCGCTTGGCTTATGGATGCTAGTCATGTTAATAAACAACAGCAGCATCTGCCATGGTCTGCAACCAAGACGACATTTACTTCAAGGTTCATTGAATCAGCTTAGGTGGTACGTATAATAATCGGTTGACTGATTTTAAAAGGCCTTTCAGTTTCCTCAGAGCCATGCTGGCCAACAGTTAAGCAGCATTCAATAACTATCCAGCCTAACTCATGAGAGGCCAAACCAAATATTTCCAAGCCTTTCAAGACTATCAGCATTTCTACCAAATAGAAGATTTACATCAACAAAAGTCTATCACACTTGACTCCAAACTACTGCGATGCCACAGAGAATTTTGTTAAATTTTGAATGTTAGAGGCCTCAAATTCCAGGAAACAATTTTATGATTGTTACGACTATGAGGCAAGACAACAGCTCCTAATAACTCCAGGGTCCACCCCAACCCCCCCAACCTGACAAACGAAAGTGTGAGCAGGGGACAGAGGGAGGGAAGGAGATGAGGAAAGGGGGCAGGGAGTCTTCACATGACTCATAATGACCTACATTCAGCAGACTGGAGGCCAAATTATCTTTGTCTTCATCCTACTAAACCATCACTAACCACTTAAGGTCTAATATATTAGATATAGAAAGCTTTCAATTTAATATAGAAACAAGGGATAGTTCACCCAAAAATAAAAACTCTCTCATCATTTACTCACCCTTATGTCATTTTGTACATTTTGAAAAATGTTTGTGAATTTTATTTTTTTTTTTAGCCCATTTCAATTAGAGACATTTCTCAAAATATCTGCTTTTGCTAATGTCAGCCATTCAGGTTTGGAATGATATGAAGGCAGGTAAATGATCATTTTAATTTCTGGTGAACTATCCCTTTAAGATGACATGTAAATTTCAACATTTGTGAGCCCTGCATTCTCCATAACACTTCATCTAGTGGTAAAATAAGTATTTTGCACATCTCTATTCATAGTGATATTACTACAGTAACAAAACACCATCAAGGTTTGAAAGTTACTTAAACATCAACATATTCAGAATAACTATTACAGTATTAATTGTAATATCCAATTTAAAGCACTACTGCTTGAAATACGTGTTTTGAGGGACCTGTGTGATAATCTGCAGATATCAGTTTTCTGTAAATATCACGAAATGTGCAATAAAAAGTTCAGCTATTTGGCACATTTATTAACTGACCATTTATCAATTTCCCCACTTAAAGTCTAAATTTACCTTTTATACACCCCTAAGAAACATGTTTGATCAAGTGTGTAGTGGTCCATTTTGAGAACATGTAGATTTGAACATGCCTAATAAGAACCTGTCACTTTTAAATGCATCTCTGCACATTAAAGCACTGTAAACACTTTTTAGATTGAATTGCGAGATGCACACAAAATTGTTGGCAACACAGCATAAAAGCCGCAGTGACAATGTAATACAGCATCATTACAAGACAGAATGACAAATTAAAGAAAATTGGTACAACAGACCAAAAACTATTTTAACAAACATCCTTCTCACAAAGCAGCACTGTATTCACTGCATACACAGCCCGTGACAGGGACTTCACAGAAACGGTGAATATGTGAAAGCAAGTATTTTAGTACACAGTCAAAACTGCAAAAAATGCAGTGATGGCTTTTTTTGTTAATGGCTGCACATTCTTTTAAATCAGCAGGGTAGCTGATATGTCAGACGATGGGGAACTTCTGCCTGTTACAGCCAAATACAGAACAACTACAGGAAGGACATTTCTGAGCAAATGCAAAAACAAATTTAGCCTGGGACAAACATATGACAAGAAACAGGATTCTCGGGACAAGACATAAAAGGATGCAATAGGAGAACTTAATTGATCTGTGTCATCAGATTCCCATCATGCATCAGGATGCTCTGTGCACCACGATCATTAAACTGCATTACATAACAAACAGTGCTACAATCGGCAAAATTCATCACGGCTTCACCAAAACTGGCCATTTTAAGAGATGCAATTCACGTACCAGAAATATCACATAACGAGGTGTGATGATTTTGCTCATCATATAATTATGATCTCATTTTCACACTCATCCAAGAATAGCAGTGGGAAAAGGGCGTTAAACCATTCATCCAAGAACTCACAAATCCCAAAACCTATTTCTACTAAACGATGCTAGTGTAAAACCGAATGTGATGATGATCTGAACAGCCATGTTACATTCTACGATTTTAAGACCCGACGCCCCCCTTCCATAACTGACAGGTGTTGCTGCACTGGCGGCTGAGATGGGGGTGGGGTAAGACGCTTCCGTGATGCTCACTAAAACACACTCGTGCTATCACACTCCCGTGCATGGTGAATGATTAAGGAGTGAGCCATAATGAGGTCTTAAAGACAAATATTTGCACTCTTTTCCTGCAAATCAGTGCTGTGTGGAAAAGCACGCATTGTGTGATGGTGGTAAAAGAGCACTGGGGAGGCAGAATAAACATAATATATAAAACAGGCAACAGAGCTGCAAAATTCACAGTCCACGGTGCTTTCGCAAGGAACAATGCAAACACTTATTGCTGTAGGGTCACGGCGAGAGCGGCGCTGAGAGCACAGATGCCGTGTGTTGAGTCCGCGCCAGGATGTATGAGAAAGAGAGAGGGCCGCAACACAAGCATGGCCATGCAAACAATGCCATTCATTCAGCGCTCATTTCTCCTCCGCTTCACCCCCCTCCCAAACCTTCTCTAGCTCTCCCTCCCTCGCCATTTCACCCCCCCCACATGTTCCTCACACGCACACACGGTCTCAAGGAGAGGGGGGGGGGGAAGGGTGGGTGGATGATAATACAGCTGCACCACACCCTGCCTCCTGCTTGGCCAACACACACACACACACACACACACACACTCTCTCTTGCTCAAGCTGCAAGGACACGCACTAGACGCGGCAAAAAAGAAAACTATGCCTGCTTCTGACACCACACCCATGTGAATTACTGCATCTTCGAAGCAACACACACACACCTAACATCAAACAGGTACATGTAGGTCCAAACCTTGCATCATGAAATCCACGCGCCTGTCTTCTCTCCCCTCCTCTCCTTCTATCGCTCTCTCTCTCTCCACCCTTTACAATCAGTGTCAGGCTGTTTTTGCCTGGCAGACACCCATCTCCCATGTCATCCACACTGGCCCCTCCCCCGCAGCAGCAGTCCAATCAGAGGCCTGGGCTTTGAGTGCTGGCCAACCAGCACGAACTTCCACGGCACTGACAAGCAGCACTAGACGCAGTTAGGCAGTTGTCGGTTTTTTAAAGAGACAGTCACATTCTGCTCGCATCTACATGACCCTGCTCTTCTGAAGAAACACCTCCATTATCTTCTCCACCTGCCCCCTCCAGAAGAGCCTCTTTTGCTGTCCACTTGGATGAATATCATTGCCATCTGCAGCTGTAGCCATAAAACTGAACATAAAACTGTAGCCTAATTATCTGGAAAATTATCAGCCAGATCTTTTTTTTTTTAATTTTTTTTTTTTTTTTAAGACAAGCAAATTTTTTGCAATGCAAAATTTTTACTCCCTGAGCAAATGACACTAAATATTCTCACAGGATTTTTATCTGCATACAAAAATGGCTTGCTTTGCTTAATAGAAAGGTTTGACCTGAGGCAACAGCTGATGGGACTTGCAACAAACAGTGAAGCTGCCGCTTACAATTTCTATGTAAATTGCTTAACGGCACATGACACTCTCCCTATCTAAATTAGCATTTAAAATGCCACAATTAAGCAATAAAATACAAGAGGCTGCACCATATGGTTAACACTGTCATTGGAAAGGGCACAGTGAGCTAAGTGTGGAAATCGAGAATCATTTCCATTTTTGCTTTTGCTCTGTAACGACTGCCTTCAGCCAGTGTTGAATTCTGTATTCTTGCATTCAGTAAATGCTTAATTCTCATCTTTAAATACAGCACAGTCTTTAAGGCCTTACTGCTTTTATAAAATGGTTACCACAATAAAACTATTAGGGACACAAATTAAAGCTCCTATCAAGCAAATTTATTAAGCGTCATTCGACTGCCAGAACAAAGTAGTAACTCTTATAAAATCACAATGTAACAAAAGCGACAGATCTTTTCTTCTGCATTTTAATGTATATTTGAGTGTAAGATTAATAAAAAATAAATAAAATTATAGGGTGGGAACTTGATTCTTGGTTTTTTAGATGTGGAGGTAGATGAAGGCGAACTTACAAGAGCAAGGATTTTTTCAGAATACAAATGACTGGAAAGTCCTGCAAAAGTCTAAATTTTTACTGGAAGATTCAGGCATTTTTATTAAAAATTACAAAATTAAACAAGAAAGACTTTAAGTAATCATATGGCCTGCTAAAAGGTTTGTCCCATCTTTTGATTTTAAAGGGGTCATATGATGCCATTTCAAGTTTTCCTTTCTCTTTGGAGTGTTACAAGCTGTTCGTGAATAGATAAGATCCCAAAAGTTGCAAAGACTAAAGTCTCAAACCCAAAGAGATATTCTTTATAAAAGTTAAGACTCGTCCACGCCTTCCTAAAATGGCTCACTCTAACATGCCCCCACATGTCTACGTCACTGTGTGGGGAGATTTGCATAACGCCGCCCAAATGTTCACGCAAAGAAAAAAGGCGTAACTTTGATTCTCGCTGTAGTATTGTTGTTGCCGCCGCTGCCATGTCGTGAAGACGCGGTGTTTCTCGTTGTGAAAGCGAAAATACTTTGTTTGGTCTTCCAAAAGAGGACACGACTAGAAATCAGTGGTTAAGTTGTATTTACAAGACTGTTCCAGAACAGTTCAAACCAAATATTCAGTGCGCATCCAGCGCATTTTATGGAGGACTGTTTCCTGATCCTGGTCCTATTTAAATTTTAGCAAGCAAGTCTAAAATCAACATCATATACATGTGGCGTCAGAGTTCCTCTTTGATGAGTAGTTACACATGCCAAAAACATAAGTGACTACAATATACAGCACGCTGATTCATTAATATGCAGCCTGCCTCCTTTGTTCATTACACACCTCCAAATGAGCATCTTTATGAGATGAGACTGCATTTGCCAAATCTAAAGAACTAGCTTTCGCTTGATTGTATTAAAGTGTCAAATGGACAGGAGTTAAGTTTATTCAGTAGTAATGAACTATTTAATAAAGTACACACAGGCGCTGGTGTTTAATAACAGCAGTGTGAATGTTTCAGCTTCCAGTGTCGGCGCACACAGACAGATGGGGGAATGATAAGAAAACAGAGCTCAAACGGTCTCGCAACTCCTGTATCTCAGACAAACATGCCAAACATTCGAGAAACAACCATATCACCCATCCAACACTCAGTGTTTGCTAGTTCACATAGTACACTGACAGTATTGACAGTGCCAGATGATTCACTCAAGCAGGGGTTAGAGCAAAAAAAAAATACTTTGTTTGGTCTTCCAAAAGAGGACACGACTAGAAATCAGTGGTTAAGTGGGGGGACAGCATGCCATGACTGTGGCAACTTTAACATTTGAAAGGATAATATTGCAAAGTTATTGCTTTCCTTATTTAAACTGATTTTTTTTTCATGAATATATGGTTGACCTGAAGAATGAAAGCTATATCATACACTTGAAAAATTATGAGCTATATCACCACTTATCGACACTAGGGGTGTGACAATACACTTAGCTCACAAGATGAGACAAAATACAGATACTTGGTTCACTAGAACGAGACAATATTTTAATACTACTTAAGAAATTTTCAATGACAAAATATGTGTCAAAAAGTAAAACAATGCAGTTGTATTTTGAAATATTTTAACTAATCTAGGGCTGTAACTATTATTTTCGTAATCAAGTAATCTACTGATTATTTTGACAACCGAGTAATCTGATATTTTTTAGTAACACAAACAGACCTATATGAAAACTAGGCTTTAGTATGACTATTTATATATAAACTAACAATGAGGCAATAATAATTGTCTCAAATAAAGTAATTACATGGTTTTATTGAACAACACTGTTAAAATACATAATTTAATATGCCTATACATAATATGAACATAACCAACTTGAGTACATTATGTCTTACAACAAATACCTGCAGAGGTCACCAACAGCCTCGAGACATTTCACTTTACAGTGTGATTAAATGATGTTTAAATCCATTAAATGTTCACATTTGGCCACATGCAAACTCAGACAATTTTATTTTGAAATTGCGATGTACAATACATGGCATATTTAGAAATAGGTTGATGTATTCTCCTGTGATGGCAAAGGTTTATAAATGATTTACGTTAATCTAGTGAGAATGCACACGGTTTTCTAGGGATGTAACGATTCACTCAACTCACGATTTTTTTTATAAAATGAGATTTAAGACAAATTATAAATTAAATGTGTCCTTTTATTATTGCTTGGACAAAATTCTGCACATTTCTTTGTGAAATTTAAATATAACACTATAATAAACTAATATAGCACTTGCATATTATTGCTCTTTTTTGGATTTGATTGCTTCTATTGTCCTCATTTGTAAGTCGCTTTGGATAAAAGCATCTGCTAAATGACAAAATTTAAATATAATGTAAATGTAAATAACAAAACTAAACTGAAATTTTAAAACAAGCCCCAAATCAAATAACAAATAAAATAAATCTCTTCATATAAACAAAATAAGGCTTTCTTTGTGCTCTTTCCATTTAAAATGAGGCAACCACTGCATTTTAATCATGATCCAAACAAAGATGCTGCATACATGCAACATGAGCAGTTTTTAATCTAAATTAGATTGTATAATTTCGAAATTGGAAGCAAAAACAGAATGGTTTGACTTCAGTTTTGTGAAAGTATACATAAAAAATATCTGCATGAAACAGAAACAGCAGACGAGCCGAACGAGATGCAGATTCACTCTCTGCCAGCAGGTGGCGCTTACAGCGTTTCCTTTGTTTCCGCTGTAAACAAAGCAGTGCTGCACTTACGAACTTTAATATGCTTTATACAGAGGCAAGATGAAAAGAAAAAATACCATCTAAACTTTTCTAAAGACAGTAAGTTCCCCTCAGACATACATTCATATAAACTACCCCTAATCTCTACCCCATCTCAACCGATTTGAATAGTCACATTTAAATCTATTTTCAACCGGCTCGCGGTTAATCGTTACATCCCTACTGTTTTCACAGATGAACGTTAAGCAATTCAAATTCACAGCATATGCAGAGGAAGAGTTTAGCCCTTTTCACACATACGGTCTTTACTGGTAAATTACCATTAAGAGATCATGTGTGAACAGGACCTTTTCAAAAATCCCGGTAAATTTGTTCTGGCAATCATATCATTCTTATGGAGATGACGCGATTACTCTGAGCCGTTTACAAAGCTCCGCTGCTTTTTAATTAAGTTTTTCTATGTAAATATGCGCTAGATGGACATCTTTGACCATTGCGCCTTCGCAGCATTTCGCACTTCTCCATTCATCAGGGCTGCGACTCTGCAGTTGGATACTACTATGCGCATCTCATGTTTATAAGAGCAAAAAAATTCCGATTGGCTAATAATGATAGTTTACTTGAGAGTGAAAACAGTGCTCCTCTCGTACCACTGGTAGGCGAACTCATGGACTCGAAAGTGATATATATATTTTTTTTAAATGTAGGTTTATTTTTTCCCGCAACCAAATGCTGCACGCCGGAGATTCGGCATGGTGCCGGAGAACTTTAAGCCCTGCTCAGGGTTCACACACACACAAAATAATTAATCACTACTCTATAGGGCTGCCCTCGACCAAAGATTTTTCTAGTCGACTAGTAGTCGTTCATTTTTAGCAGTTAGTAAACTAATCGCACGTTTATATTAATAAACCATATAATTCATAACAATGAGCCTTTAATTGCTTATAGCCGATCAGCGCATGGATAAAACTTGCCACAGCACACCGCCAGAGGTAATGATTATGAATGCGTCAGGGAAAAAATAGCAAGAAGACTGCCTTAACATTATAATAATTCATTGATAAGCTAGTTTTTTCTGTATTTTCGGCTGCAGTGATGAAGTCGACAACACTTTCTATAGATTCTATAGATATATTTCTCATGTCTGTGAGGCAAGCACTGTTTCGGTTCATTTTTTTCGACGTACTCAAGTTCACAGAGACCTAGATGGCAGAAAGCGCACCTTGTTTGCTTTCATTATTTTACAAAAGCACAACGTTCTGTTATTGTGAGTGCACACACATAAAAGTAAACTTTTTACAAATTCAAAAGATGTATTACTCTGTATGAGCAAAAATGACAGAGTATTTTAAGTTAAATGCAAATGATCGCACTGGTGCCTCCAAGTTAACGGTCATACAGTGAGTGTGCAACTATTCAGCTTCCACACTCCGCACAAATACGTTAATAGTACACACTTTTCTAGGTTAACGTTAACGTGTAATGTTAACCATGTAATGTTCCTACTGCTTACATGTTTCAGATGATAAGCCACATTTGAGGTCGATGAACGAAACGAACGTTTGGATGTCCGTCATGGACTACGTGACTTTGCCACTTCCTGTGGAATTTTTTTTCTGCGACCAAGCGACTAATAAGCCTCTTCTCGTTGACTAATGGTTAGTCACTATCAGGGGGCAGCCCCACTAGGCCTACTCTATAAACATTTGTATAAGAATACATTTAGGACAATACATACATACATCACTTTTTGAAGCTCAGCGAAAGACTTGAAATGCAATGCTTTCCAGGCCTGTGCATCTAAAAGCCAACATTACATTCAATGGTCTTATTGCGAATGTTCCACCAGTGCACATTAAAACAAACAGATACATTTTTTTCATCAAAACATAATATCTTGACAGGTGTCTGCAGTTAACTGATAACTATGTAACACCCACTTTCAACAAACCCAATCAATTTCCAGATGAAATCAAGTCCCACCCTAAACGTTGTCCTCGAGTATCTCGTTTCACAAGCCACATTATGGATGTAAAATGGTGCAAATGTTATTTCATGTTGACTTTAAAGAGACGTGGGTTGTTGATAGTCAATAATATCTATTTTTATCCATCTCATCTGGTTGCATTAGTCTTATCTTCTCACCTTCACAGATGCGGTCCAGTCTCTGCCGCTTCACTTTGTGTTTGTCCATCAGAGCCATCGACTGGCAGTTCTTCAGTAAGACCAGCTACAGCCACAACACGCCGAAAGAGAGGGTGAGGGGACACAGCACAGCGTTCAGTCCAGAAACCACCCCAAAAATCCTTAAAACACCTGCAAAGATGAATTTCGCATGTTACAAGCTTCAGACCAAAAGCGTTCTGAGTTACTGAACACACCACATCCAACCATCACGCCAAAACAAACACCTCATGCACTTTGTCTAGTGTAAAATACAACTCATTCTAGAAAAGGTTCTCCTTCGCCCACATAAATGACTGATACTTAAAAGATAGTGGTGGGAAAATGTCAAATAATTGAACTACCCACCTGATGACGTCAAAGCCAGCCAACTACCCTGCTGACGTCACGGACTTTATAACGGCAGCTGAAAAGAGAAAATCACACCTAAATGTATAGCCTGAATGCACTGCAAGTCGCTCTGGATAAAAGCGTCTGCTAAATGCATAAATTTAATTTAACACATTTGTAGATACATATTAGGTGGTCAAATTAATGTTACTTATAAGCAGTGTTGGGGAAAGTTACTTTTAAAATATTGTGTTACTCCCTAAAAAAGTAACTAATTACGTTACTTAGTTACTTTTTATGGAAAGTAATGTTATATTACTTTTGCGTTACTTTTTAAATATAAGCAGGGCTTGATTGTTTTAATATAAGAAGTTCTATTTACAGCAAATAAAAGCCCTTTCACACCAAAAAGTGTAATGAATAAACCTCAGACTGAAGGAAAAGTAAATTCACGTCTGTACAGTAGAACGCAGGAGAAGAAACACTCTTCAGCAATAAAAAAAACTAAGCACAATTGTTAAGTTTCTCTAAAGTAATTTTTGCTTATGGTCAGCAGCAAAGACATTGGTTAATAAAATGGGATTAGATACATTTGTGCTATTTAACATTTAATTACTGCAGGTTTGCGTCATATTCTGAGTTTGCATTTCACTGTTTTAATTCATTTTGATGAATACTAAATCAGTTTTTTGTGAGTGGGATGAATTAATGCACATTCACATTTAGTCTAGAACTACAGTAACATGTTCACACAACGCCTCTGTACTCCCGATTTCTCCCAGTACGGGGAAAGGAGACTTGTCAGTCAATACATGGGAAAACAAAGTAGCTGGCATTACTTTTTTGAAAAAGTAACTCAGATATTTTCTTTTAAATTAAAAAAAGTAATGCGTTACTTTACTAGTTACTTGAAAAAAGCAATCTGATTACGTAACTCTCGTTACTTGTAATGCACTACCCCCAACACTGCAGATAAGTATAAAAAAAAGAAAATCACACCTTAACGTTAAACAAGCATTAGTTATAAGCACAGAGCCTAGAAACAGCATCTTTTACAATAAAAAATATAAAACAGACATTCACAATATCATCCGAGGCTTTTGAAAGAGATGCTTAGCTAGCTTTAATGCTGTAGCGCCTCAAATAGGCTCCATCTAGTTTTAAACTCACTTATTTAGGACCATTTCACTGAAATGACACGTAAAGTCTAAATAACTGTAAAACGAGCGAATGAATAAACAAATGAACGTGTTTTCGGAAACACATTCAGTTGAGGAAAACCGCATCGTGAGCACTTCGCGATTAACTTCGGTCTCGTTCCTTTGAAATATGTCTCGCTCTTGTTGCTCATGTAAGTTAAGCCCGTGTGAAGCAGGGAAGGAAAAGCTAACGTTACAGAAGAGCGCGCAAATGATGTGAAATGTTTACAAACCCCGCGAGGCGTCGGGTCGCTGGAAGAGTCGCGTTAAACCCAGCGGCTTGGTTCGCTCGTTTGAACGGGGGCGTTGTAGTTTTGTCGCGTCGCTCGCTCGCTGCGAGTTCTTCAGTTAGCCCTGCGCTAGCTAATTAGCACATGCAGCAAGAAACAATGCAAACGACTGCACGATAAACCCCCAAAAGCACACGCTGAGCGAAACACACGAGATTATTAGTGGTTTTTAACCGCTTTCGTCTCTCGTTGCTTCTCTGACTGTAAACACACACAATGAGAAAGGCGCTTGGACTGCTTGCTAACTGAGCTAACGTTACCAAACATTAAACACAGACAGACAGAGAGAGTGAGAGGAACAGAGTCATAATAACACACGGCGGGCTCACAGCACACACAATCGACAGTCTGATGCGAGTAATGGCTCAAAGATCATCCAAAAGCAGGGTAACGCGCCCCTCTCACCCGAAAAGAACGCGTTTCTGGAGGTGGATGCACGGGTCGGTGTGGTCACGGTAGGCGAATCAACTCTTCCGCGCTATGGCTCGCCATGAAATCCGCACAGAAAGGAAGTCGAGGCCGCACAGACAATGTGCTGTGGAAAGAGCGAGCGCTCGGAGCTGAGACGTGAGCGCTGCACAGACGAGCGCCTCCTACCGGTCAGTCTGCGACACTGCGGGCTCCCTCTATGGAAGGCCAAAAGGGCCAAAAACACATGAATTTTAACGCGTCAACAACGCGTTAAACTCGCGTATTTCACACGTAAACAACACCTATTTAACGCGTTAATATTATTAGAAAATACGGGATTAGTTTCCACTGTTATGCCGATGATACTCAACTATATATCTCAACAAGACCAGATGAAACTTCTAAATTATCTAAGCTAACAGAATGTGTTAAAAATGTAAAAGATTGGATGACCAATAATTTTCTCCTATTAAATTCATATAAGACCGAGATATTACTTATTGGGCCAAAAGACAGTACACAGAATCTCTTGGATTACAATTTGCAACTAGACGGGTGTACTGTTACTTCCTCTACAGTCAGAAATCTGGGTGTTATATTAGACTTTGCAATGATTTGTATCGTGAAAAGCGCTGTAAAAATAAACTTGACTTGAAATACGCGCTGTTGACGTGTTAAATCTTACGTGTTTTTGGCCCTTATGGCCTTCCATATCCCTCGCGCGGGCTGCAATTTGGCCCTGAGCTCATTTTCGTTTCTTAATACATCCGATTTACTCAGAGATTGCTATGTAGGGGATATAGAGGGGTTAGCTGTGTCAGGAGGAGAGTCGTCTTGCCACCTAAATTAGCATTATGAGTCACGTGATCATATGTTTCAAAGGGCCCTCATAAACAACTTGCTGTTAAATTAATTTTTATGCAGCCAGTCCGTATACCATAAATAAAAGCGTGTAAATGAATGAGACCATTAATTATTAAATGAAGCATTTTCCCACAACAGCTTTTCCCCAGCTAATAGTGATAGTAAACAGGAAATACCATAACAAAATTTTTAACAATGACATAAGTATTTCTTATGATGTTGAGCTGAGAACCATATAAAGGTTTATGTTGAGCAGACTAGGATGTCCTCCATGGAGACAGACATAAAATATTTCTCAGAATATTTTAAGATGCTGTGTAAATGTTTTTATATTTATAGAACAGAAGTAACCAAATTCATTTTAACTTGTAAATGAATTAGCATAACACTTAAATCTTGAATATTCATGTCTGTATCGGTCAACTAAAACTTGACTTGAAGGCCCCCCACTGTTCAACACAAAATACCCTGATATTTCCTCTGGTATTTCTGCTCTATGGCATCGCTGCTTGCTTTATTCAAACTTTTTATTAACACAATCAGGCAGTGCTGACATATTGAATAATAATATCAAATAATTTAAACAAGATTTTATGTGATGATTCAAGATTCTGAATTTGGAATATTCTTCAATAAAAACAAGTTATTGAGGGGGAAATAATTTCAGTTTTCATCTCCACACACACACACGTTGGGTTTCCATGTTTTATAGGGACATTTAATAATGATTTTTTTTTCACTGAACAAACTGTATTTTCTATCCCGTTATCCTAACCCTACCCCTCACACAAAACTTTATTTTCAAAAAACTTAAAACTTAATTTATAAGCTCATTTATTTAATTTACAAAACTTAATTTATAAGCTCACCAAAAAATGTCCCAACAAGGTTTATAAAAAGCAAATGGCTGCAATATAACAGAGTGAAAAATTTAAGGGGGTCTGAATACTTTCCGTACCCACTGTATATATATATATATATATATATATATATATATATATATATTACATTACAGGTATTACAATCCTTTGTGGGACATTCGGTCCCCATAACATAGGGAATACCAGTACACACACACACACACACAGGTTGGTGGATTATAATTTTTTTGTAGCATTTTAATGAATTCTTTAAAATGTAAAACTGTTTTAATTAAAAAAATTATTTCAACCACCCTGTGGCCCCTTGAAAGTTTGGGCCCCGGCCCCCTGATTGAGAGTCACTGACCTAGTGGAGAATACCTTTTCATTTGCTGCAGATGTAATGGATGATTCAGTTGTCTTATATAACAAAATGACAGCAGTATACAAGAATAATAATAGAAACACTGTATTACAGAGGAACTCTGCAGCTAAATCCCACTACACATGTATACGCATGGTCTGTGCGAAGAGCAGTTTTTCTGAAGGCAAAGGCTGTTCGAATTCCCTTTACATCAGTGATACTAATACATTTTAGGTGTTCCGGTCAGTTTCTTTGTCTATATGTCTCAGATGGTCGCTTCCCCATGCACACAAAAACGTCATAACAGAGATCATTGTTGTGAACATTTAATACTTAAGACTTTCATGTTATTGTCATCCACCATAAGCATACTCATTATTTTATGCAATAGTATTTTCAGTACTTTACCTTTATGAATTATAGACATCAATGTTCATATTCACATTTTCATCTGTATCATTATACAATGAAGTTGAAGTTGACCTTTTATCACTCAAAAGACTCAGTGGAACGGAGAGGATATCATTCACATTTTCATGCCGTGCTCTTTGATTATCTTATGAATAGTTTCAGTCTTGGCACACACACTCTCTCTCCGATTCCTCTTTCTGTTCCATCTTTATTATTTTGGAAATGAAATAAAGAGTGATGAATCTAGAAGAAGAATTTAACATTGCAGAAATAAAAAACAACCAATAAATTACTCTGTTAAACCCACATCAAGCATTGCTAGTTACTTCTCTGTGAGAGACAGCTGTAGTATCCTCTCCAGCTCTTCCTCCTCTTCCCTCCTCTTTCTTTAGGGAACAAAAAGAGGAGTGTTATTGGCTGATACAAATGAGGAAACACACAAACATATTCTCTATTGAACTAATGTGATGACACATGGGGTATGTGGAATATTCCTCATATTAAGTCGCTACAGTGAAAACATACAAAATAACAATAGGTGTTAATGTTTTTTGTGACTGAAATTGGTTCTGCAAGTGGAAAAGGGGAGAAAGAAAAGAACAAAACACAACAAATATTTCTCTTGGATGAAAAATGTGTAGTAAATGTGCTTTTCAGTTTATATATAGCACAACAAAAAACAAAAAATGAAACAAACAACAAACAAAATTGATAAAAATCTTGGATTAAAAAAAAAGTGCAGTAAATCTGTTTGTCAGGTTCTATGTAGTGCAACAACACGAAACAAAGAAAAAACAATACACAAAATAAAAATTTCTCTTGGGTAAAAATTGTGTAGTAAATCACAGGTTGTTTACAGCTCAACAAAATGAAACAAGAAATGAAACAAAAAAAGACAGCAAACAAATCTTGGATGAAAATTGTGAAGTAAATGTACTTGAGTTGTATGTAGTGCAACAAAACAAAATAAAACAATTTTAACTTGGATAAAAAATGTATAGTAAATATGCTTGTCATGTTGTTTAATAGTGCAACAAAACAAAACAAAAAAATCAAACAAAAACAAAATCTTCTCTTGGATGAAAAATGTATAATAAATGTGCTTGTCAGGTTGTATATAGCAGAAAGAAACAGAACAAAGAAAAACAAAAAAACAAAGAAAATTCTCTTGGATGAAAAATGTGTAGTATATGTGCTTATTGGGTGCAAATAGCGCAAAACACAGAAAGAAAACAAAACATAATTTTTTTTTTTTTTTTTGGGATACATGCAATTTACCCATAAAGATATTTTGTGGCAGTGTAAATTTGCAGCCAGCCGTTTCATACAGGCTACAGGCTTCGTATCAGGAGCCAATGATGCCTTAAAACCCTGTCCAGATTTTAGCTCAGTAGGTTTGGGAATAGAGCTTATGTTTTTGGATTTTGTCATTTTTTTGCTTCTCCGTCATTCGTACCCGTCTAACTCCTCCTGTTCTCTGCAAGAAAGCTCCATCGCAATACGTAGCTGTTCATCAAAACTGGTGGCCACAGCAAATGCTCCCGGCGCCCGAGGCTCGGTCAGTGAGATGTAAGACGGAGGTGAGATGAGGGCCGGATCAGACGGGGATAACGGCTGGCCAGCATCGGACTCGCCACTCTCCTCTCCAGCCAACGACAAGGACAGAGATTCCTGAATCGCCCTGTCAGACACACAATCACATTTCAAACAGCTGAACAATCATAAGTACATCCTCACACTCAACACTGAATCCACCCACACACACACACACACACACACAAACCTCTCAAGCTGAGAGTCCTCCTCATAAAGCGGAGGCTGAGAAATTGGACGAGTGTTAGTGAGAGCCTCCCATATGGTCACCTACAGAAACGCACAGGAAAAGAAAGAGAAATGAGGGAGTGGGTGGAAAGCTGTGAAGGGAATGGTGAAAAGTTGATGTCTGCTAATTGTTTAGTATTGACTAGAACTTCACAATTACTCAAAATAATAATAATAACTATGATAACTGCTTAAATCATGAAAATTACCACATATACATATACATGTATTTAGATCTGGTTTAAATTTGTTTAAACATTATGTTAAGAGACACAGGCACTTTCCCCACTGCATTCAAGCAGGCTCGGGTAACCCCACTGCTCAAAAAAACCTACATTACACACTTCACTTACAGATAGCTACAGACCTGTCTCTCTCCTTCCATTCATAGCGAAAACCCTTGAACGAGTTGTTTTCAACCAGGTATCATTGTTTATTTCACAGAACAACAAACTGGACACTAACCAGTCAGGTTTCAGGAGTGGCCATTTAACTGAGTCACTGAAGCCCTGCGGATGGCAAAAGCTGATTCCAAATCATCAGTTCTTATTTTGCTGGATCTATCAGCTGCTTTTGACACGGTGAATCATCAGATCCTCCTGTCCACCCTCTCATCACTGGGCATCACAGGGATTCCACTTCGCACGTTTGAATCCTATCTCACTGGTAGGTCTTTCAGGGTGGCCTGGGGAGGGG